TGGGATTGTGGAAACCCAGAGGCTTTACCAAAGTTTAAAGTTATAAAAGTAACAAAGTTATAGATAATAATGAAATAGCAAAACAAAAGAGTTCACATACTGCTTAGTTAAGACCAAATGTGACTTTGCTTCGTGTCTATTTGTATAGAAGGCCTGCCCTTTCATTTTTGGTATGCAGTAGATCTTTTTGTTCTTAGACTGTAGTCCAGGCTGGTATAGAATTCACTGTACAGGCCAAGGTGGTCTCAAGCTTGTGACAGTCTGCCTTCATCTTCCAGGCGCCTCAGTCACGGACATGAATCACCGTGCCTAGCATGGATCACGTCTTTTCTCCCCCAAAAATTTGTTCCAAGTTTTGGAATCACTCCTAAGAGTGCCTTCCTGCTGCTGCTGCTGCTGCGACTCTTTTTAGAAGATTGATGACATTTTATAATACTATCCAATGGTTGTCAACTGAAAGTCTTATGTGGGTGCTGGCAAGGTAGGCTTGCAGAGGAACTGAATTTGGTTCCCGGCACCCATAGGGTGGCCCGTAAACATCTGTAACCTAGTTCCAGGGACCTGATTCTGTTTTTAGGTCTTCACACACACACACACACACACACTCTCTCTCTCTCTCTCTCTCTCTCTCTCTCTCTCTCTCTCACACACACACACACACACACACACACACACACACTCATGCAGGTAGATACTCATTATACATAAAGTAATTTTTTTAAAGGAAATATGTAGAGGCTCAGTGGCTAAAAGGACCCTGGCAGCCTGATGGGATTCCTGGACCCCACATGATGGGAGAAAAGCCCCGACTTCTGAAAGTCATCACACACATACTTTAAATTCTTAACGAAAATACGACCTTAAGATTCTTCTGTTATGTTCAGTGGGGGCTGGTGTTGTCAGCGATAGTTGTTTTTGTTTAGTGTGTAGTCTGCCGTTTGGAGAGTGTTTGCGGACTTAACAGACCTGTCCTGTCCTAGCGGTTTGGGTGGCCATGGTCGTGTTGTGTTAGCAGTTGAAGTCAAGTGTAGCTGTAAGTATGTGTTGGATTTGGCTCCAGATCTTTAGTAAGATGGTTTCTCTCATGTAGGTTTGGGAACCAGAACACCCAAAGGACCTTTGTTTGCCGTAGTCGTAAGCCAGTGCATTGAGCAGGTCTCGTGTGGCCACTGAGGGCTGATGAGATCGGATGGACTGCCGAAGCCTGTCTTCCTCCACGTCCTGCCCTAGTCTAGGGCCTTAGGCTTCATTCATGCCACAGCAGTGGAGGATGAGGTGGAGTCTGCACTGCAGATCTTTGCTTCCTGACCTCAGGGTCTCACCTTCTCAGCCGACAGCCTTGAACCCTAGGTCAACACTGCCTTTCGTCTGTACAACAGTCACTTTTCTGACCTGTCCTGTGCATTTAAAGACAGTCAGTTTGTTTAATCAACTACGGTAAGACTGAACCAGTGAAGCCCTAATCTGGCATATTTAGGTAAAACAACATGTCTATAAGGTGATTTAGGAGACAATTTAAAATTGCTAGAGGTCAACCAACCTTCCTTCAGTTTTTTAAACAGCATTTCACTTTGGAGCCAAGACTAACTTTGAATTCATCACAATCCTCCTGCCTCAGCCTCCTGAGTGCTGGCGTTTCTTGTTTCATTCTTTTTCCTGACAATACCAGTTAGGAAAGGCTACAAGTCCTTGAGAACTGCCAGACCTGGCATTTGGCTTTTGTTCTCAGCCCATGTATGCTGACTTTGTCATTTTCTGTATCATAAAAGAAAAAGAAAAGCTGTGAACTTGGGAGAAGTGGTGTCCATTGCTACAATGTTGTGACAAGCATGTTGAATGTAACTGCGGAGAGAGACACCATTGGGCTGAAGATGACCTCACTGGGAGCTGTTCCTCAGTACAGCTCCCTCTCGGAGCAACTCCTGAGGGAAGGTGTGTGTGGTCTCTTAGCTGTTTCCTGTTTATGAGCAGGGAAACCTTCCATCCAGGTCAGGTTACAAAGCGCCGTGCCATTTTACTCTGAAGATCATTTGTCACAGGCATTTCGGTCTCTGCCCACACGCTTTTGGGCTTTTCTGACAGCCCAGCACTTTGACATTCTTGAAAAAGTTGCCACAGAAGAAAAGTGCGTAAGTTGTCCTTATTAGAGCATTATGTCTTGTTTTTTCCTCTGAGTCTTTGAGACTTTTAAAAGATAGGTGATGGGTTTATAAGAAGGAATGGCTGTGGTCTCCGACTGGACCTGGAGAGGTTAGATTGAACAGTATACTGCGGTCCTAGAGCCAGTTAAGCACAGACTTTCCTGGTTTGAGAATAGCTTGTAGCATGTGGCTATAAATAACACTTTCACAACGAGCATGGATTTGATAAGGGGCAGGAAATCTGGCCCAGCTGCCAACAGCAACAGCCAATGCTCTGAATTCAAACAGTCTTCACACCCAACCTAAAAACACCCTTGCTGCTTTCCTAGAGTCAGAGTTTTTCTGTGCAACCCTGGCTGGCCTAGAACTCCCGCTTCCTTCTGGGTCCTGGGATTAATGGTATATACAGTACACCAGCCCCTGGACCAACCATTTCTTCTTGAGACAGGTTTTCTCTGTGTAGCTCTGGCTGTCCTGGAACCTGATCTTTAGACCTCCTGAGTGCTGGGATTAAAATCATGCCCAGCTAAATCAGCTTTTCTTAATATGAGAAAGAGGTCAGTTGCTTTGGCCTATAAGTGCAAATTGTCTCTTCTATTTAAAAAACCATGTGTGTTGCTTGCTCATGCCATTGTGTCCATGTGGATGTCAGAAGACAGGCTCATAAGAGCAAGCTCTTTGTTTCCCACGTGGGAGGTAGGTGATTCCAGGAAGCCAAACACAGTGCAGCCTGCTGAGCTATCCTGCTGATTCAAAACGATGTCATCTTGGTTACAGTCTGGAACTAGCACAAGTAATTGATGCTACAATAAATGAGATCTAATGATACTGTATGTCTAAGCCTCTTTTGAGAATCTACTTTTGAAAATGTTTATTAAACGAAAAAGCTTGTAAAATCTACTTTTTCAGCCTCTTATTCTTCCTTTTTATCCTGCACAACTACCAGACAACTGTCTCCACTCTGAGATTCTGCATCTTAGGTACATGTAATAGAAGAATGTAACAGTGTAATCTATAACTTTCTGAATAGAGACATTTAGAAATAGAAACACAAGTGTTTAAACTGGGAACCATTTTTAAGACTGTTGCTACAGAAGGGGGAAAGAATAGCACACTGTGGTGTAGGGTAGTCTGTTCTGTGAACTTGCTGTTTAGTTATCGGGACTTTAAACTATTAAAATTACTTATTTTCCCAGAAAGATAAAATGATATGCATGCAGCTCTGACATTTTGGAACTCGCTCTGTAGACCAGGCTGGCCTTGAACTAGAGATTTTCCTGCCCCTGCCTCCTGAATGCTGGGATTAAAGGCATGCACCTCTATGCCCAGACCTTGATTCTGTGTTTGATAATTAAATGCACAACCAAGAATTTTTTATTTTATTTTTTCTTTAATTATCTGCCATGGTTTTGTGTGTGTGTGTGTGTGTGTGCGTGCGCGTGCATAGAGGGCAGACTTGGTTCTCCCTTTCCACCTTTATTGGGTTGTAGGGATTAAACTTGGGTTGTCAGGACTTGTGACAAGTGTATTTTCCACCTGAGCCATCCCTGGGCTTTGGTTGGTGGCTTCTTATTTTTTGCCTTGATTTTTGAGTTGACCCATTGTCTTTGGGTTTTTATTGCTGTGAAAAAACACCATGACCATGACAATTTTTATAAAGAAAACATTAAATGGGAGTGGCTCACTTACAGTTTCAGAGGTTCAATCCATTATCATGACAGGAGCATTGTGACATGTGACATCTTGTCACCGCCTTAAGTTGCTGGGGAACACAAGATGGTTGGTGCTACCTGAGGTCGAAGCACCTGAGCTGAGCAGTGAGGAGGTGTGCCTTACAAGCTTCTCCTAAGATCTGGGGGGAAACTTATTTAGATTAGCGAGAAGGTTACAGGGACAACTTCAGACACATACCAAAAAACTAGAAATAATTTTTCTCTTTTTTTTAGGGGAAAAGTGTACCAACAATTTGTTAAAGATTCAGTGACTTGTCAGGGATAGACAGTTTATGTACAGGATTGGGAAGGTGGAGTAAGCCCCAACATCCCCTATATGAGGCTTAGCAAAATTCGAACCAAGTTTAGGCTGTATGGCCTTGACCTGAGCAGCCACGGAGAAGAGGAGCTGGTCAAAGACAACTTGTGTGCTTATACCAGCATAAACACGAGTGTAGTGACAGGCGCCATGCCTTTCCCGAGTTTGAACTCTTTATCGGTCCTCACAGATATACTTACTGTCCTTTCTTTCCACAACCGCTAGCCTTTTCCTACTGTGCTTAAGCTGTTGATGTTCCACTTTAGGATAATGATTGTGTACTTATTACTGCTTTCATGTTTGTTTATGATAAAATAGGCGCCAAAAGCCATTTAAGAGAGGGAGGGCGCTCACAGTGTAAGGGCACAGTATTATGGCGGGAAGCTGTAGTTGGTGTCCAGAAACATTGCACAGGAACGAGAGAGTTGGCTGTTGGTACTCAGTTCCTTCTCCTGTTTAGCTTTGGCTTTGGAGTATATGTATTAATAGGACATTTTACTTTTGAAAAAGAATTTGAGTCCTAAAAGCTTGTTAAATTATCATTTTTAGCCAAACCAGAATTTTAATCCCAATTCCCACCTTAGGTGATTCAGACACCACTTTCTCTTTGAATTAGAAGTGACACTCTGTCCTAAGAAACGGTGGTGTCTCGTCACCTAAGACTCCAGATCTCATATTTAACACATTTCAGAGGTGAAAGTGTCCCTGAATGTGGCAGGGTGAGGACTCCCTGCTGGGGTTGGGCAGTGTGGTGAGGGTGTTCTCATTTGACCTCCTTTGCTGATAAGGGGAGCCATAATGTCTGCCTTTCACTTTTCTTTGTCTCAGTCACATCGATCAGACAACAACATGGCAGGACCCCCGAAAGGCCATGCTCTCGCAACTGAACGTCCCTGCATCTGCCAGCCCAGCGGTGCCCCAGGCGCTGATGAACGCGGCCTCAGGTGAGTACCACCCTGCTGCAGAGCCACAGCCAATCTGTTTGGATATCTGATTTCCTTTAGGGAACCTAGAAAGTTTTCGACCCAGTGCCATGTGGGCGCATTGTATTTATTCCAAAGTAGCCTGCGTGGAGTTCTCACACAGCGCCGTCAGCGCAGTCTTCCTCTAGGCTCTAAGTTGTTCTTTCAGGTTTTGGTATCATGTTTGTGTCTTAATTGTGTGCGCGGCTACAATGACACGAGAATAACTTTAGGGGTGTGCTCTCTCCCAGCACCGCGTGAGACCCAGGGATCAAACTCGAGTTATTAGCAGCTCTACCCATGGAACCATCTCACCTCCCCCTCCCCCACAAACATTCCTGAGGTGGTCTTGGGAGTGATGACTGACCTGGAACCATGGTCCTCCTACCTCTACCTCCCAAGTCTGGGGTTTCTGGTGCACCACCGCGTACCATGTGTGTTTGTGTTTGCTGACTTCCGCCCGGGGTTTGAGTTGGCACTCCTCATCCTTTTGTAATGTGATGAAAAGCACATTGTTTTATTTTTAGTTGCTCTAAAGAAGAAAAAGCACAGCTGTATTGCATGACTGCCTCAGGGGTGCTGGACTTCATGCTGTGGTATTCATAATCCGCCCCCCCCTTTTGTTCGTTTGTTTTTGAAATAGAATCTGTCCAAACCAGCCTCAAACTTGCAGTCCCCCTGCCTCTGCCTGGTGCTTGCCACATTTAAACTTATTTTAAACCATATATTTATATTACCATAACACTATTATATTAATATTATAATATAATATAACAATATTAATATTAACATTAATATTAAATACCTTAAGGATATTTATAACTACCATATATTAAGGCCACGTTTGTCATGAACCCCAGAGCCACCCCTCGTACTCTGAGATCTAGCATGTTTTGCCTGCATGTGTGTATGGTGCACCATGTACATACTGGTGTCCATGTAGACAGGAGAGGACATCAGATGCCTTGGAACTGGAGTTACAGGCGGTTATGAGCCATGGGTGCTGGGAACCCAACCTGAGATCCTCTGTAAGAGTAACCAGGCTCTTAACCTCTGGACCCTCTGGCTTTTGTCTACAGGACCTCCCTCACCACACACCCTTAGACCTTTCTCTTTGGTTAGAGGGGCCCAAGGCCGCAGCTGCCACACGAGCACCTTGGTACACACAGGAAAACGTCCTTCCTCTGGGCTGACCCCCCACCCCTTTGCAGACCAATTTTGTTCATGGTCTAAGTATTAAAGTAAGAAGAGACTTTGGACTCAGTTACCTTTAAACTTGGAGGTATTAGCCAGTTTTTAAAGTGTAGGAGTCAGATTCAGAATTTGCTAGTGAGCTTTTAAGACCCCACCCCTCACCCCGTCATTAAACAGTGTCATAAGTGGTAGAGGAAACAGAAGAGGACGGGGTGGCACTGCCACCAAAAGCTTGTGTGGTGTCCTTCTAGCTTTATTTCTAGTGAATAAATACACTGTCACTTAAGGAGGACTTTGAGGTTAGACAGTACAAAAAAAAGACCTTAAAACATCACCATGCCAGGAATCCAGCACCACAAGATGAGAGGCAGAAGTGGCAAGTTCCAGGCTAGGCTGCGTGGTGAGATACACAGGGTTCCTAGCCTAAGACGCCCAAGTCCCTTACAAAACAGAGTTAGCGAGTAATTTCCTGTGTGCTTTATTTAAATGCTAACTTACGTATGTGATTTAACCACGTAAACAGTTGTCATGCTGGATTATTTTGTGAAGTAGCAAGATGTCGTCCATATATTTTAAAAATCAGTTCTAACTTTTCACTCGCATTAGTTCGAATCGCTGCATATAAAACCCAGGGGTTGGGGGCCTGCTGTGTATCTCTTGAGGGAGACAGATGCCTGTGACTTCACCTGCTGAACGCTGAATGCATCAGCAATGCTGTGGCTTTTACTCTAGGGTTTTTTCTCTCCCAGTTGAGAATTGAAGTTGGGACCTCACATAGTTGAGGTCAGGTCTTATGTATCCCTAGCTGGCCTTGCACTCACTACATAGCTTAGGTTGCCTCTGGCCACCTTCATCTTCTTCTGCCTGCACCTCTCGGATGCTGGGACTCTCGCTCTAAATTAGAGAACATTTTGGTTGTCCCCTGTGACAGTAGACATTTAAGAATGGAATTAAATGCTTTGGAATGGAAGTTAGAGGAGCTGTAGTTTGGGGGCCCTGGAGAGCAAACCCTGATGCTCATGCTAAGCACCCCTTAGGCCTGAGCCACACGTGCTACAGCCTCCAGAAGCCATGATCAGCAGACCTTGTGCCCACATGGCATGAGAGGCAATGGCCTGCTGATTTCAGTATATGGGCATCTGTCTCTCGGGAAAGCGGCTCTGTGCCTGGGGTATGAGGGACGTTGGAGGGAGGGGGTAATGATGTCTCAAAAACAAAAGATATAAAAAAAGATTAATTTAAATACAAAGTAAATATAAGCTATTTGTAATTACTGGTAGCTGGTTTTACTCCATTTAAAGTAATTTAAAACATCTGTCCACCACGCCATCTTTGGGACTGTGTTTATATTTGAAGCTCTTTGTGATCAAATATAGGCCTCGGGGCTTTTATCCAAGTCGTGAGTTTCTTTGTCGCTTTCAGACTTAGGAAGTCCATCTGATGTGGGCAACGCAGTGTTACAGACTATAGCACTGTGAGACAGATTACATAAAAGACAGATTTCTCTTTTTTCCCTGATTATTTTAAGATGAGATATGTAAATAATACTATTAATGAATACAGTACTGTACTAACAAGACATTATTAACAAAAACTCAAGCAGGAATAATATTGTAATGAAACCCACAGTCAGTGCAACCAGGACCCAGTCTGTCTTGTTAGTTATTCTGACTTCTGTCACAAATAGCTTTTTACAATGTTTTCAAACAAAATGGCTGTTTTTCTTCCCTACAAGGCAATTCAGGTAATCTGAGAAATGGGGAAAATGACTTTGAGGGTAGAGTGTTTGCAAAAGAGAAGGTGGGAGGGTGCAAGGAGGGAAGAGTCATGGCCCCAGGGAATGAAAAGTGTAAACATGGGTAATCTACCACCCTTAGAAGTGGGATTCAGTGTGTCTGACCAGCCCTGCACTCTGGAAATGGTGGCGGAAAGATCGGGAGTTAATGACTAGCTCAGCTACATAGTTTGAATGCCATCCTGGGCTACGTGAGCTCCTGAGTCCAAAGAAAAAGAAAAGGAAGAAGAAATTTGGCTTGTTCTTTGTGCTGCGGCTCAGACCCAGAACCAGGCAACACTACCACTCTTACATGTAGTGCAGACGCCGCTTGGGCCTGTCTGTCAGTCGTTCTTGTAAAGCCCCAGCCCTGACTCCAGTTCACCCTACCCTGTTCCCAAAATGGGAGTCAGTAAATGCAAACAGGCACATGAAGGAAGTACAGAGGTTTAAGTTTTCCTGACACTCAAAGGGTAAGATGGCCACTTGGTTTGGAGATGGCTTTGGACCCAGTACCAGTACTCTTCTGAGGCTGGCCAGCCTGGGCCTCACCTCTGCACATACCCGCTTATGGGGGCAGCTTTCCAGCCGTCCTCTCTGCTCAAGAGTTTCTCATACATTCTACACAGATGACTTGATATCACCCAATGCCACCCACTTCTCAAGTATCCTTTTATTTTTTTGTTTATTTTTAAACCCAGAGTAGTTGTATCGAAAACTGAATTTATAATTAACCTTTTTGGTTTTTGTTTTAAGGTGGATCCAACTGCAGCCCAGGCTGGCCTCAAATTTATGATCTTCTTGACCCAATTTCCTAAGTGTGGGATAATGGGTAATTGTTTTCTGTAACTTTAATAATGCTACTTTCTCCCTCTTGCCTGCCCTCCTCCTGCCTCTCTTTTCTCCAAAATAGGAAAGAGAGTTTGTGTGTGTGTGGGGGGGGTATAACTTGTGGGATAATTTCTCTCCTGCCATTGGGACCTAGGGTTTAAACTCAGGTTTTAGGTTTGGCAGCAGCATCCTACCTACTAAACCATTCTGCCAGCCTTTCCATTTTCTAAACAGGATTTTAGAGTCTTTGTTTATTTAATGTATGTCTGAGTGTATGTATGTGTGTCACATGCATATGGGAATCTGCAGAAGTCCAAAGGAGTGGGTGCTGGGAACTGAACTCAGCCAGTGCTCTTAACCCTGGCCTTATCTCCAGCCTTGATAGAATCTGCAGCCCTGACAAGCCTTGAGCTTTGGACTCCTCTCCCTCCTGTGTGCCAGGTGTCGTCGTTACAGGCTGGTGCTAGATATTGCTGTGGAGTTTTTGTTTCATTTTTCTAAAGATCTTGACTATAGCAAGCGAGCAGGGTTTCCAAGTCTTGCATTAGCAGTTAGCCCCTAAATCAATGGGAGCGGATAGATACCCAGGCGGTGGTGGCGCACGCCTTTAATCCCAGTACAGTAGGCAGAGGCATGCAGATCTCTGGAATCTCTGTGAGTTCAAGGACAGCCTGGTCTACAGAGCTAGTCCCAGGACAGGCTCCAAAGCTACAGAGAAACTCTTGTCTCAATCCCCCCCCCCCCCCCAAAAAAAAGCCAGTTCTTTCTGTACGTTTGGGAGTCATTTGAATTCTGACAGTTACCGTGGGCGCAGATGCCCGAGCGCCAGCCACCGATGTGAGAGCCGGAGAAGAGCAGGAGCACACTGTTGAGTGCACGGGGAGTGTAGCTGCATGGAATCGCCGCTGCACGGGCCCGAGGAAAACGAGCTAGTAAATATTAGCACTCAAAAATAGTGTCCGCGCTACACTTTTTTTTCAGTATTATTTGTAGATGTTTTGGAAACTTTGTGAAAAGAGATTAAATTATTTACATTCAAGGACCAAATGAAATGCCTGTTTTGTTTCTTCTCTTGGTGAGTGCTAGGATTTTATTTTTGTCTTTTCCACTGATTTCTAAATCCTTCTGGTCACTATTGCTCCAGCAGTTTTGTGACTCATGGGAGGAGTATTTGTGTGAAAGA